GGATACACCTCTAAAGGTGGTTGAGAATGACCAAGCTAAGATCCTGTGGGACTTCCAGATACAAACTGACAAACTGGTAATGGCCAACCAACCAACATATATAAACTTAACTGGCAATTTTTTCCAGCGGCAGGAGTTATCATTTTGACCACCGGCCATTTTGACCCATCAAATGTATATTTCGGGTTCTCATATCTTGCATCTGGCATGTTTGGTTCCTCATCTTCTCAAGCACTTAGCTCACTTCTGCATTTAGCTCCTCCAGCTCAGCAGTGTGTTCTTGAGCATCACATTTTGTTCTTGCATTTCTTTATTATTTTCTGCGAGTCTTTGATCCATGTCCGGTCTGAGTGCAGCTATTTCTTGCTTCACTGCAAACTTGAGCTCATTTTTTAATACTTTCAGCTGTTCCCTCATATCCTGTTTCAGCTCCACTAAGACTGCTAATGAATGCCTATCCCTTCTTGTAGCATTTGTTTGTGGCTTTGCTTGTCCGTTCTTCCCTGCTGCTTTCTCCTCATGTTCACTGTCATTTTTAGAAACCCCTTCTAATGCTAACTGGTCCAGAGCCTTGCTTGTTTGTTTATTTATTTATTTATCCTTACTCATCCCTATATTTTACTACATTTATATCAAAATCAAGATCAAAAATTTTTATTGTCAATTCACTATATGTGCAAAACATACAGAGAATCGAAATACCGTTTCTCTCTCACCAAGTATGAATGCCAAACCATTTAGGAAACTAAAATAGAATAAATAAAAAAGAATAAAAGAATAAGAAAACTAAATCAAAGTGATTAAGGTAAAACTAAATGGTATAACCTAATAGGCTATGACTCAAACCATGTACAATCAGTGACAGCAATGAAAATAATAACAAGAAGATTGTCAGATGGTTGTGAGACTGAGATGTATATGGACAGCAGTGCAAATGACCAACAGCAGCAGATTCACATATGACAAAAAAGGGGGAATGTTTTGAGCTTGTGCAACAGCAGGGGTTAGTCTTTTTATATATTTATATGTTTTGTGGTGGGTTACAGTCTAGAGGCAGAGGGGGGGAGGTAGTGAACAGTGTTCAGCATCCTCACAGACTGGCAGATGAAGCTGTTTGTAAGTCTGTTTGGAGTGGCCCTGAAGACTCCGATACCTTTTCCCTGAAGGCAGGAGTCTGAAATGGGAGTGTGCGAGGTGGGAGGTGTCATCAGGAATGCTGATGGCTCTGTGGGTGAGGCGGGTGTTGAAGATGTCCGTAAGGGAAGGCAGAGGGGTGCCGATGATCTTGCTGGCTGTTTTCACTATGCATTGCAGGGTCCTTCTGCAGGAGGCAGTACAGGCTCCATACCACACAGTGATGCAGCCAGTGATGACTCTCTCAGTGGTGCCCCAGTAGAAAGAGTGCATGATGGGTGGTGGGGCACTGGCTGTCCTCAGTTTGTGGAGGAAATAGAGGCATGCTTGAGCCTTCTTGGCCAGTGTTGTGGTGTTGCTGGTCCAGGAGAGGTCCTCAGAGATGTGCACCCCCAGGAACTTGGTGCTGCTTATATATTGTGTTTGTTGTGTGAAAGCATGTGAAATTGTGTAAAAGTGCTTTGAGTGTGCTGCAATGCATAGAAAAGCACTATACAAGTATAAGGCCATTTACTAATCATGAAGATATCAACATTTCAAGACTAAACTTCATTAACAGGTGCAATATAATTGTTTCAGAGTGGCAAAGCCTGTTATTACACAAAAGGCTACGCCATGATTTGAATGTTTATTCACATTACTTCAAGCCAATTTAAACCTGTTTATACATTCTACTATTGTGGATGACATACTGTATGCAGATGACAAATTCAAGGAAAACTAAGCAGAGAATGCTGAGGTTGTTTGGTGGGAGCCAGAAATGAGTCAGTCAGACCCATCTTTGTCCAGCTTTCTACATAAAGTGTCACTTTAGGCACCTCACCATTTCTTTGGCTCTCTCAGTTGCACTTTTCAGTATAATCAATTAATTGATACATGAAGCCCCAGGAGTTTTGAAATTCGGATCAAGCACAGCATTAAATTTTTTGAAAGGTTGCATGTCTCACAATCTGACTGACATACCAGTCTTGATGAATAGAATGATGAGTGCATTTTCCCATTTGTATCCTTTGGACTGTTCATCCACTCCTCTCTCTGATCTTGAAGCCTTGTAGGCTCTGCTACTTTCTGGATGTAAAGTTAATGTTATGCTCTGTGCTACAGCTCTTTCTTGCTGCATCATTTTCATCAATGCTGCATTTTCCTTTCAATGGTAGCTTTGAAGATGAACTTTAAGATTTGTTGGGTTTTCTTTGTTTTATTTCTTACATCCAAAAATCACTCCTTCACTTCATAAGATGTAAGTGTAGTCCTTGGTTATATTGCCATTTAAAGCTTGTAGGCTTCCGCTGCACAGAAGTCTTGGCCACCAATTTTATGCCTTGAAATTGAGGATACTGTGGCTGGTTCTTACTTTCTCACAACTCTTCAAATGACTGTTTAGTTAGAATTAGGTTAAGTGTTAGAATTAGGGTAAAGACTGGGGTTAAGTATTTACATAGGTGTAAGGATTATGTTTAGCATAAGGAGCTAGGGAATGCATAATGTCAATGAGTGTCCTCACAAAGATAGCTGTATAAATGTGTTTGTCTGTCTCACCATCATTAATAACAGCAGTCATGATGCTGCCCTTCTTCTTGCCAGCTTGTCGGACATAGGATAGACACTGCAGGTCTCTGAAGCTGGTTGCCCCCTTGGGACAGGGTGGACTTTCACAAGCTTTGTGCTCCACACTGGCCTTCTGACAGTTTTGCCCACCAGGTCCAGGCCTGTGTGCATATATACATACATACACATGGTTATAATAGGAATACTTAGTTTAGGAAACAAGTCTATAGAGGTTAACAATTGTTTGCAAGTAACATGATGAACTGAATTTGATGGCCTGACCTGATTATTATTATTATTTTGCTAATATGGCAGCCAAGTGAAAGTGACATTTGGGCTAGGCAGTGCAGTCCTGTCAAACTTGGGGTTTACTGTGTCGACAGTGATTAGGAAATAAGGGACACCTGCTGGTGAGTTGCATGCCTCACTCTTTGTCTCCTTGGTGTAATGGTGTAAGACTGGTGTGTAGCATGTAGTGAGTTAAACAAGCTGCTGATGAGAGTAATCAAAGTTTAGCTCTTAGATTTAGCATTCCAGTAATAAATGGCTGGGGAACATTGATGCATACTATTTTTGTAAGCTACACTATATATGTGTCATCTTTGTTGCTCAGGAAGGTAAAGGTAAATAGAAGATGAAGGTAAATGAATCAGTTTGTTTGTGGAAGAACTGTGGCTCAGAGACACTTGACTTGCTGTTTTGCTGCAGGTATTACTTGTAGGAGGTAGCTGTATTGCTTTATTTTGTGTGGTTTCTTGATGTAGGTTATTTATTTTATGGGGATCTAATATTACATGTTCCTGTGAACAAGCCTTTTTTCTGCACCGCTGTATAAGGATAGCTGGGGAAAACTGATGGTGGAATCTGCTGTACTGCTGGCGGGTTATGCTGTATATTTTTGTATATTTTCTTTTGTTTTGGGTTGTGAGAAACAATTGTATGAAGTTACTCTACCTATATTTTTATTTTGTTTGCAGCTAGTGAGCTGCTGCTATGCTTGATTTTTTAATCAACTATTTTTCAACAATAATACACACAGTATAGATACCGGCTTTCATCAAACTTGATTTGACAGTTCTAGATGAAAGGTTATCCAGTCAGAAGCATTGTCCCGCCCCCTAGCCCCCCACCCTCCCCTGATTTCCCCGGGGGAGGGTGGGGGGCTCCCCGGTTAAATGGAAAAACTGGCCTGACAAGTTTAACAGTTATGTGAAAGTATTGGATGTGGTAAACGTGTGAAACATGGCTAGCTCTGGTTTTTACATGACTCTGCCCTCAAACGCGAGCGCAGATGTCTTTAAAGATAACTCAGCTTCTCAATTTCGCACGGATCTTGCGCGGCCTATAGATTTAAAAGGAGACTGGGAGGTTGCTCTGACAGATTTTTGTTATCCAAATACGTGGCTGACCATGCCTCCAGAAGGAGACCGTTTTTATTGGCAAGACACATGGCAATTCGGCGTGCCGGAGCAGCCTGACAGTCCACTCCCAGCGGATGAGGATAAATACAAAGTACACCACGAGCGGCTGGGATATGGGGCCTTCAGTAGAGAG